TTGGAGGCAAAAAGATGTACAAAATAAAGCACAGATTTAATTGTTTTATAATGGGTTATAAGGCCTGTCTAGTTATAAAAGGACACAAACAACATGATGAATTGACTTTAATGAGGTATTCTCTCTAGTTGTTAAGCTAGTAACAATCAAATTATCACTTGCATTGATAACAAGTCAAAATTGGCATCTTGATCAACTTGATGTTAATAATGCTTTCTTAAATGGATATCTACATAAAGAAGTATACATGGAACTTCTTTCCAACCATCATAGAAAAGAGGAGTCTATAAATATTGAGTCCAATATTTACAAAATTCACAAGTTCATCCTATGTCTTAAACAAACATCAAAACAATGATATTCAAAATTCATTGATATTTTACTTCAATTTGGATTTCATCAATCCAAGTCGGATTACTCACTATTTACATAAGTTATTGACTTCTCATTCATTATTTTATTGATTTACATTAATGATATTGTAATTGTTAGTCCCCCCATAGATGTCATCAATTTCATCAAATAAATTCTACATACTTAAATCAAATTAAATGATTTAGGTGACTTAAAAAACTTTTTGAGATTGGAAAGTTCAAAATATTTTACTAATATGATTTTATCTTAAAAATATTATACTTTATAGTTGTTGGAAGACACTAGTTTCTTGTCATCTAAACTAGCACTCAGTCCTATAGGTCTTAAAACTTAGTCAAGTCTTGACGAGGAAGAATTATTATCTGATGTGCATTCTTTATTGGATGTTCATTTACATATTATTATACATAGTCATTTCAAGGCTTGATATCTCCTTTATTGCCCACAAACTTAGTCAGTTCGTACTCAACCTCGATTCCTTATTTGCAAACAGCACATAGCTATTTTTTTATTCTATTTTTTTATAAGCCCCTTACAATTAAAAACTTTTTTCTGATGTTGATCGGACATCTTATCTATATTCCAAAAAGTATGTATCTAATATATTTCTTGGTAATGTCATGATATCTTAGAAAGTTAAAAAGTATCCTACAGTTTTTAAGTCTTCTGCAGAAATTGAATACTATATACTAGCCATAACAGCTAGTGAATTAGTCTGGATTAAC